TAAATCTTTTTAAATCAGTGCACCAAACAAAAGTTCTAAAACAAAACATGAAATAAAAGGGAAAACCATAAGACATTGATTAAAGACCACTCATGTCCCAGGCTACAAGAGATCAGTACTGCCTTGGTTGGGCAGAGGGAGAGCTCACAGCAGAAGGATAGTCTAAAACTCAGTGTTAGACTAAACTCTGTGCTTTACAATTTTCTCTCAGATTGATAGGAATTTGGCTGATATTGTGAGCAGTTATCACCGCCTCGAAGAAAAACATCTACATTAAAGTGTGTGCTGTATAAAACACCCGAGGCTGCAGTCTTCAGGACAGAGAGAGGCTTTCTGACTCTGGGAGTGTGTAAAGCTTACAAAGGCAACTCAGTGTCCCTCAGTGTTCACCTACTTTTCACATCCTCACCGTTTTTAGCCATTTTATTAAATTTAGGTCACTCTCATCACGTTTTGCTGCTTGCACAACTCACCCTCCTTGCCACTAGTACTCAATCATTTACAAACACAAAGACCAACCCAAATCCTGCTGCCTTTTCCTCACATAGGGACCAAGCAGCAGGACAATGATCTTTGGGACTTTAAATACTTCCTTTGGCTGGAAACATGCACTGACCCCATGGGTGAGAGGAAAAGTGGGGTGAGTTTGGTCTAGAGCAATGACAGTTCATAAGTTGAACATAAATTTCAAATACATATATTTAACTGTATAAATATCTGTATTCTTAATCTAGAAGATTGTGTTTCCTGTGTTTCAAACAATTTACACTGCAACATTGCTTGCTGCTGGATCTTCCAGCTGTCCCAGCTCACAGCCATGTCATGGAGCATGGTGGAGTCCCCATCCCTGGGGGTGTTCAAAAACCATGTGGATGTGACACTTGGGGACCAGGTTTAATGCTGAACCTGGTGGTGGTGCTGGACTGGTGGTTGGACTTGGTGATCTGTTAGGTATTTCCCAACCTTAATGGTTCCATGATCCCAAGATTCCAAAATAAAAAAGGAAGTGAGCAATAAAGACACAGTGGATTTCAGATGTCAAATTATTCTCTAATTTGTTTTCTGGCAGCTCTTGAAAAAAGAGACAGAAAAGACACAGAGGCAACACCAGCAAAAGGCTTATGGTCTGGTGGGGTATTGAAACCTGCTCTGTGTCACCTTGGAATAAATTTCTTTACCTAAAAATGGGTTTAAAACATGGTTTTAAACAAGGTGTTAAAAGAGGCTTGAAGCTGAGGGAGGGACGGCAAATGAGAGTTAAACAGCACTGCTAACTTCTGGGCTTCTGCAAGGTCAGAAAGGCATCAGTTCAAAACAGCTTCCTCGCAGGGTTATAAAGGGACAGAGCAGTTCCAAAGGAGGAACAGAGACCTTCCCGACCCCAGCTCTCTGTGCTGGCAGCATCCTGGGATTAATCAGTGCCAGGAGCAGGGGTTGACCCGTCACACAAAAATGCCCTCAGGCAAATCCCCGGGGTTTGGTGAAACCGGACCAGAAGGATTTGCTTTGAATCCACAGCTGCAAAGCATCAGAGTCTCTGCTTCCCAAACACGCTAGTGAAACATTTCCCTCAGTCTCTTTTGAAGCCGTGGCGTTAATTCCGGTTTGTGTTTTCCGGCACACGCCCTAAATGAGCTGTGAGAAAACGTCTGGGAGGTGTTAAGCACCAGCGGAATGTGGAGGGTGTCTCCTACGTTCTCCTCATCCCAGAATTTGCAGCCTGCCTGGCACAAGTCCCGTGTCCCCTGCTGTCAGTGCTGGCCCAGCATCCCTAGTCCATCCAAAAAGTTGCGTGAGGAGCAGAAATGCAGTTAAAATACAGAACGGAACCAAACAAATTATATAACTTTAGAATCATAAAATCATGGAATGGTTTGGGTTGGGAGAAGCCTTAGAGCCCATCCAGTGCCATCCCCTGCCATGAGCAGGGATGCCTTCCACTATTCCAGGCTGCTCCAAGCCCTGTCCAACCTGGCCTTGGACACTGCCAGAGATGGGAGGTGTAGCTTTACCAGTCTAGTGTATTCTTCAAGACAGAAGTTACAGTTTCACTCCCAAATAAGCCCAGAGCTGCCTATTTTTCCCTTGCTCAGTTTTGATTTGCTAAAACCATATACCTGGGTAAGAATTTGAGAGAGACACAAAGGCCAAAACCACCTCAAGGTTCCCAGGTTTCTGTGGCCAGCTTGGCCACAGCCTTTGAGGAGGACACACTGGAAGAGCATTGTACTGATTAAAGACAAAATACTTAAGTATAAAGGTGGTTCGATGCTAAATTCCCCGAGGTTTTTCTGACAGGTCTTGGGATGGCCTCATGAATGGGCCATCCCATTCTGGCTCCTGCTGGCTCCAGGTGAGATGGAATGACAGGGAAGCCCCAGGTGGTGCAGGACAGTTCCATCTGCAGACAACAGACCCAGCCCAGCACCAGTGACCCCACCACAGCTGGGGTTCCCCTTTCAGTGCCCCATTTGTCCCCGTTTCTCAGACCTGGCTGTGTTCCTGGCACACCTGACATCCACCCTACCATATGGATCTCTCCAAGCTCATGGCTGCCTGCTCAGGGAGCTCTGTTCCCAAACATCTCCTGACAAAACCAGGAGTCTTTTGCCTTGGCCTTTGTTGTCTGAATTCAGCTTTGTGGGGCGCTCATGGGTTACACAGCCACAGAAGAATTGCTGTTCCTGTGAGGTTTGGTTTCTCTAAAGGTTAAGGAGTTGCCGTGTCCTGGCCGTGCCCCAGGGCCTGCTCCTCGCGTGCTCAGCAGGGCTGTGTTTGTGTTGCCATGGGGAACTCCTGGGAATCCTCCTGCCCCTGCCTCCCACCCCTCCTCGTGAGAAGGGCCCTGTGTAACCTTCTGGCTGAGTCACATCCCCACACAAACCTGTCCACCCCGGGAGCCAGCAGCCAGCGAGGGGTGAATTTACAGCTCCAGGAAACGTCTGCTCGGCTTTGCTTCCAGTGAGCACCAGAGCTAAACCTGTTATGTCAACACAAGGGGTTGCACAATCTGCTGTTTGATGCCACATCCACTCCTGAGCACAGGCAGATCTCCTGGAAAACCAGCCCTGTGTGCTCTGTAGGAGATCACTCAGTGCTCAGGTGTGATCCCACTGACAAAACATGCCCAGGGGAATGGGGAAGGGCATTGGCTGCAGCCCCATTCCCTGCCAAAATGGGTTTTCTTCTCACCAACACAAACAGGCCAAGGCCACTGCTCCAGACCTCCCCAGATCAGTGGGATTTATTCTGAGCATTCTCTTCTGCTGGTAAAGGAAAAGCTAGGCAGAGATTTCCAGTGGCCATCCTGGCACTGCAGCCTGCCCCAAGGGCCCAAGGAAGAGAAGCTCAAGGCCACCCTCAGTGCTGGGTGTCCCAGAGCCCACCAGAGCAGGTCTCCAGAGCCCACCAGAGATGTTTTCCAGGGCCCATCAGAGGTGTTTTCCAGAGCACACCAGAGCCATTCTCCAGGAGCCCACCAGAGCTGGTCTCCAGAAAACACCAGAGCTGGTCTCCAGAACTGTTTTCCAGAGATGGACTCCAGAGTCCATAACAGCCATTCTCCAGAGCCCACCAGAGCTGGTTTCCAGACCATACCAGAGCTGTTTTCCAGGAACTGAGCTCACCCCCAAGGCTTCACCCCCTTCACCAGTGCAGGGTGGCACTTCCATGTCCTTCAGGCTTGAAGGATCTCCCATGTGCTCTCCCTACAGTGATGTTTGAAGCCTAAAATAATTCATTTTCTAAATCCACCTTCTTATGCCTCCTAGGGATCACAGCTGGGTTGGGAAAAAATACTGTACATACAAAGCAGAAGAACCTGGATTAAAGGGAGGGAAAATGAGAAACAAAGGATTACATTTCTAAGTATGGGGAAACTCTGTGTGGTTGGTGTCACATTATGTATCAGAAGAGGGGTTTTCCTGCTTTATTATTCTCCTTCCACATTATTTTTAATAATGTTTAAGGAACTTCCCTGCTTTATAAGGAATCCAAGATTAAAGGTAGCAAAGACTTATCCTGTGCACTGTCAGTCTTCTGAGCTGCCCCTCACCATCGAGCTGCTCCACATATCTTCACTAAAAAACTGAAAATAGCCCACAAATTATCAAAATAAAACTGTCTGGAAACAGCAGGTGACAAATATAGTTTTATTTTTTATCATCTGGTAACACTGTGATAATATAAACTGTATAAAGCATGATAAAACTCTTCCATGAAACAGAGTAGGTACATATTATAAAATAAAAACCACAAATATTACATTACCAAAAGGAAAGATGACATTTTAAAGAAAATATTACAATAATATAATGGTACCAGTTCCTTTCTGTATTCCAGAATTTATGGAAAATGTTTAAATTATGCAGCAATAAGATAAGTTACTTTTATTTTCTCTGTTGATTTTAAACATGCACTAACTCAAACAGAAATAAAACCTATTGATCAATACAGGAAATGTTATTTAACCACAGAACTTTGCATGTAGACTTGGACCAACCTAGACTAGTGGGAGATGTCCCTGCCCATGGCAGAGAGTGGAATCAACCATTCCACAATTCTTTGGTACAGTGGCTGTTAAAGAAATGCATTGTAATTATTCCCCTTCCCAGGGATTTTCTGACTTTAGCAATTAAAGTTTTCAGAGGTGCAGCTGCATTTTCTGTGCATTTACAGTTACAGCAATACTGGTTGAGATGGTACTAAAATAATCTCTGTCTACGCAGTCTTTCATTAATCAAAGTACTAAGAATATATTTTTAAAATAGCTCTTAAGGCTTCACATTGTTACCTGGGCACGTTCTACCAATCCCCAGTAAACATTGCCACTGTCCCTTTGCAGAAATGTGTTGTTTTAATCATGCTCAAATGCAAAATCACTGTCAATTTATGAAGAAACATTCAGGTCAGAAATACACAAACTGACAATAATTTAACATATGGCTGCCAGTAGCTCAGGAGTTAAAGCAATATAATTTCGAGGATCAAATAAGAAAAAGAAAGTATCAGAGGTTTCGTTTTTTGCTGAGTGGTACAGACATTCTCATATAGCAGTAAAGTGGATTTCAATTTTTTTTTTTTTTAATTCCATCTTACCCTTCAAGCTACGCCCAGTTTACACCAATTAAAAATCAGTTACCTCCCCAAAAAAAAACAGTGTTTCCAATTCTATAAGAAAACACAAAGACACTGAACCCAATGATCCACAGTTTTAAAAACAAGGATCTCAGCCCACTGAAATGTTTTCAGCTCCCAAAACAGCAGTACAAAATGCATTCACAAGAAGACGTTCTCAGGAGTGTCGCACAGCCCCGTGAGGAGCAGGGATGCTCCACTCAAGTCCTTCTGCCTGCAGTTCCAAAGGCAGGAGCAGTTTCTGGGCAGGGCAGGGCCGTGCACAGCCTCTACGTGTGGTTGTTGTTGTTGAGGTTGCTCTTGTTGAAGAACCTCCTGGCCTCCACGCTGCTGAGGGACACGGAGCAGCGAGAGGGGTTCTGCTTCCTGTACTCAATGCTCTCCACCATCGCCTCCTTGATCACCTGCAGCCAGCAGCAAAGCTCAATTTGAACACTTTGAAATGGACAGGAACAGCCCTTCTCCCATTAATAGCTGCTGCACCCACTTTTAGCTCCCCTCCATCACTGAGCAGAGGGATCGATGAGTTTTAGCACAAATAGTATTTCTTGAGTATATAAAATACTAATTTTAATGTGGTTAGTAAAAATATAAGGGAGGCCACTAACACCAAAGTCTCACAAAAACACACAGTATTTAAAAAAGCCACAGTGAAACTCAGAAAGGTAAATCCAAACATTGAGAAAATCCATATTTCAAGGATGTAGAGAGTAATTATTATGTTGAGAAAGATTAAATCTTCACTTTTAAATCCTTTGTGCTGATGTAACAAGTTTTCTTCACTGTATTGATTAAAACCCCTGTATCTTTATCCGGGATGATCATTACACTTGTCAGTCCACAGATGTTGCGATCATGATGTCATGTCTCAACAACTATCAATTACAAATAATTATTACTGAGTTAGCTGATAAAGAAATTTCCTTCAGAGGAAACTTCCTGTGTCCTTTTTGTCCAATTAGACAAAAAAACCCTGAGTGTAAAGTCCTGCACACCATGTTTACATCTTTAACAGTGCCCTTTGCTCAGTTATCCTGAATGGACTGGGATGGTAAAATGGCAAAACCAAGGCATGAACTGAATGAGAAGATCAGGCAAACACTGAGGCAATGCCCTGTACCTTCAGTAGGGCAGATTTAGGGCTTTCCTCATATCACCCACTTCCCCCTGTAACAATCCAGCCCCTTTAACCCCCTATACTCACATCCATGTTATTGAGGGTGTTGAACTCCATGAGGTCGTGGAGCCTCTTGAAAGCCTCGTTGGGATACTGGAAGTTGAAGGTAGAGAAAGGTGTGTCTGAATCATCAAAAATATCAAAATCTGCAAAATCCTTCTCTTCCTGTGTTTCTCTGGGAACACCTGCACAGGACAAATGCAAAAATTCCATCCAAATGTTAGGGCTGAGGATTTATTACCTTATTTTTAATGGCTCCTCTGAATTAATTCCCTAAGGACTGCAGACAAAGCTGCTCTGAGTTGTTTCAGAGGTAAAACATTCCCAGTACATAACCACCAAGTGATTCCAGAGGAACAGATGGATTCAGCATCAGGAATTGTGAGCTCACCTGGAGCTTTGTACTTCCTGAAGTCGATGTTGGCCAGCACGAAGTGGATGATGGTTGGACAGTCCTTCTCTGAGGAGGTGTCCTTGGGTTTGAAAACATAGCACTCCTTCATGCCCTCCCTGTCAAACACATTGGGGTCTATCTTGGGGAAAGGAAGCTTGTTCATTTTGGCCCATTTTTCAGCCAGCAGGATCTCCTGGAAAGAGGAAAATGTTTAAATTATGCAGCATTGATTCTTTCTTTTCCTGGAAAGAGGAGAAAGACTCAGGTGGCAGAAGAGCTTCCACTGCAAAGTCAGGAGGTTTGCAGAGACAGGGATCATGTAGGACGGTTAATGTAATCCATAAATTAGATCTCCAACACAGGAAGGACATGGAGGGAGTCCAGAGGAGGCACCAGGATGGTCAAAGGGATGGAGCAGCTCTGCTGGGAGAAAAGACTGGGAGAGCTGAGATTGTTCAGCCTGGAGAGGAGAAGCTTTAGGGACACCTCACTGTGGCCTTCCAGTGCCTGAAGGAGCTGACAGGAGCCATGGAGAGAAACAATTTCTAAGGGATGGAGTGACAGGACACAGGGAATGGCTTCCCACTAGCAGAGAGTAGGTTTAGCTGGGATATTGGGAAGGAATTGTTCCCTGTGAGGGTGGTGAGGCCCTGGCACAGGGTGCCCAGAGCAGCTGTGGCTGCCCCTGGATTCCTGCAAGCATTCAAGGCCAGGCTGGATGGGTCTTGGAGCAAATCTGGGCTATTGGAAGGTGTGGGGTGGGATGAGGTTAATGTCCCTTCCAGCCCAAACCACTCTGTGGTTTTCAGGATTAATCAAGTGGATCTTAGCAGGACCAAGTGAGCACCTCACTCACCCTGCCCAGGCTCTGCCACCTGCCACATGAGTCACAGGAAGGAACGTGGTCTGCCCCAGAAACCTGGGGGTGAATTTACGGAGCTGACAGTGAGGGAAAAGCCATCCATAATTTTACTTTGCAAAGCAGCACCAGTGCTGTGGCAACCACTGAGAGCTCCTAAACCCTTGTTGTACACATTGCCACACATTGTTGCACTCAGAATTAACTCCCACACTCAGGGGCCTCTCAAAGCACACCGTGTGAAGAGCTCTGGAGAACAGGCTTCTGTTTCCTCATGACAACCCAGTAAACAAGATAATTTGTAAATAATGACTCAAAAGCATGTAATGAGGGTGTGTGAGAGGGAGGAGAGGGAAGGTTAAACATCTTTAATCTTGATTTTCAATGAAATAGGACCCTTTTTTGGACGGCTGTTTTGATACGCAAGAGATTAAGAGATAGTGGGTGTAAAATGGTAAACCAAGGCTCGAGTCATTGAGTAAAATATTAGAGTGCTACCATAGATACAGGCCCACTTCTGAAGTGGCATTTGCTCTTTGCAATGCACCAATGGGACAGAACTGGTTCCTGTTCTTGTCCTGTGCCTCAGGAATACACCTGTGTCTGCCTCAGCACACACCCACTTGTGCTCCAGAAATAATTCCCTTCAAGAGAGGTTCTGGAAAACCTGAGGCACCATCTAGTTTTCCCACCATTTTTTATCATGTTAAGGGATTTTTTCCATTTTAAAAATTATGGTTTAGAGAAAAACCTTCAGGATACCACTTGAGTGCTCATTAATCTCTCCATGTTCCCCAAAACAACCCAGAAAATTGCAGCTGACAATGACAGAATGCTAAGGGTAGCAGGGGTGACCATATACAGCTTTTTGCACAGACTCCACCTGTGGAATGTTAAAAAAGGGAGGGAAAAGATCTTTCAGAGGCAATGGCAGTGCTGTGTCAGCAAAATTTAGCTGCTGGGGCAAACACTCTTGACAAAAAGGAGATACATTCTTACGCAAACAGAGTATTAAAGGAAAAACAGACTCTGGGATTCAGTCATTTAAGGAAAAACAAAGGAACTTAAACACTAGGAAGTCTTCTCAGTGCTCTATTCTCCCCAGTAGCCCCAAGAGACCTAGAGATTACAGGAATTTCTCCTTTTTATTCTCCTGTAATTTTACTTTGCAGTTGGCAGCACTGATCTCAAGCTCATTTTCCTACTGCTGTTGCCTTCTAATGTTGTTTTGGGAGTTTTGTCACTCCACAGCAGCTGAAGGAAAAGAATTCTCCGTTTGTCGTAACTAAAATTTGTCTGTAAAGCAACAAGGAATGCCAACTGTTTTTCAAACAGGAATGTTTGAGTTCCCTTAAAAGTGAGTTCCCTTAAAAATTATTTTAAAAATCCATTTGGGTTTGAAACAAACTATGCCTCTTTTCCGAGGATGGTAGAATCATTAGAGTTGGAAAAGACCTCCAAGATCACACAGATCAACCAAATCCCACCATACCCACTAAACCACAGCACAAACTAAGAACCTCACAGCAGTCTCTGAAGCGCTGCTTTTTCTGTAGCAGCTACCAAAAATGATCCATGTAAAGGCTTTGGGACCAGCTGGAGCTGTGTGGATGTGCAGGTGGTACAGACTGACAGCTGTGCTTTCCACACCTGCTGCAGAAAACAGCCATGGCACTTACTCCCTGTTTTCTTGTTGCCGTTTTGCTCTGGTCTGGATGAATTTAACATGGATGAATTTAAGATGGATTTTAAACCAGGATTATCCTGGTGAGATGTAAATGAACAGTTAGCCCTGATTCCAAAAGGTTATTTATTTAGCAATCCTGAGATGAGGCATTTCTGCAAGATGCTGACACGAAACCATCCATTTACATCACAGCACACAGAGGAGAGCAACTGGGTGGAGGGAGAGGACGGCAGGGAAAATGACTTAATTGTTTAATTCTGACAGAAAATAAAACTCTGCAATCAGTGCCAAAGCAAAACTTGCATAAAAACAACCAAGCTCCTGCTTCAAAGCAAGTTCATGATCCCTCTTTGTGCCAGTTGCCTCATGGAAGGCATGTAAACAGGAACTGAGGTACAGGGCAATATTCTGCCTTGACGTGGAAAGAAATATTCCAAAGTTGCAGATACAACAGCACCAAGGCCTTTCTGGGACCATGTGGAATAGAGCTGAGTCACCCTAAACCCCTGAATGCATGAAAGGAAGGGCCTGTGTCACTTACTTTGAAAGGAGGGCTGGAATCACTTGGCCTGGCTGAGAAATCGAAGGAGATGATGAGATCCACACCTCTCTGGGGCCTCAGGATGAGCGGGTAGGGCAGGTTGAAGGTCAGCCCACTGTCCACAATGTGGATCTTCTTGCTCTTCACATCCAGGGGCTCATAGATCCTCTCAAACTCGTCAGGATCTGCATGGAACATGGAAAATCCAAACAAGAAGGGACATCTGAGTTAAGAACTGAGGTTCTGATGAGCTCTCCCCAGATTCTGGGGACAGCATGGAGTTTGAACTGCACAGTGTATCCCAGGTAAACACACCATGAATTCAAGTGTAACTAAAACTCTTGAAAACTGGAGAATGAGGTGAAAAGCCAGAACTGGAAGGGCCCTCAGAAAGTTCATTAGGTAGACCCAGAGGAGGTGAACCGAAGGGGACAAACACCCAGGTTTGATCCCAGCCCTCCCACCTTCACTCCATCATCCCAAACAATCCATACACAAAGGAAAAGGTGTATGGGATGTCAAGAGACATATGGGGGTGTCAGAGGATGGTCCCAGACTCTGTTCAGTGGTGCCAGTGACAGGATGAGGAGCAATGGCCATAAACTGAAACACAACAAGCTCCACCTCAACACAAGGAAGAACTTCTTTCTTTGGAGGGTGCAGAGCCCTGAACAGCTGCCTGGCCCAAACCTGTTCTCCCAGGTTCCCTCCCAACCCCACATCCTGCGCAGCTCTCCCAAATTTACCCAAAAATCCTCAATGTGGCTCTGCCCTCCTGTGACACTTGTCTGTGCCTGCTTCTGCTCATTAAATTGGGACTATCAGGTCTTGTTTTCCAACCTGCACCAGACCTGATGACCTCACTCTCACCACTCCAGCAGGAAAAAAGAGAAACAGTGACCCATATCCATAATTCAGGCACTGGACAGAATTCCCTGTCAGCCATTTGCTGCTGGTGCTGTCCCAGCGTGGTATCCACCACTCTTTTCTCTAAGCCCAACCTGATGATGTTTCCCTCTAACCCCAACATTGCCTCAGGTACAGCTCAGGAAAACCCAATCCATTTTCCCTGGGTGTCTTCACAGTTGTCCAGGTCTCTGGACACTACTAAACTATCCCTGCTGTACTTAAAAACTTTTCCCCTGACAGTCTTTTCTTGTTCCGGACCTTACAAATATTTCCAGTGCATGGTTTGCTTTTTAACAAAAAATCTATTTCTCATATCTGTAGAGGGCAGTGTAATGTAAGGAATGCTGGATAAAAAAATGTAAAAATATAATTATTTCTGCTATAATTGAATGTCCTGGTACCTACTTATTGACAATGATAGTAATCTGGGAAATAAAAGGGTATTTTTGAAGCAAAGAAAATCTATCAAAAATAATTCTAACTCTTGTTCCTGTCATTTCAGAAGCAGTATGTTGTGAGGACCAAACAAAATCTTAAAACAGATTATTTATTTTTTTAGTTCTGCTGTTGTTTAGAAGAGGATCCTTTCCTAAATAATAAGGCACCATTTCCCACTATTTGCCTTGATTTCTAAAGGAGAGAACACTTTTAAATCATTGCCTATTGCTAAAGGGCTAAGTGTATTTATAAACTTATTTTAGGACTTACTTTAGGTATATTTCATAATCATGAATGAGCATAAATGAATGAAAATGTATCAGTATTTATCAAATTCATCACAACTTAAAAAACAGGAAAAAACCCACACTGACTACAGTTCCCTTTATCACACGTAGACCAATTTGTTTTTCCTCTTCTTGTTTAAACAAGTCAAACACAATTTAACAATTGTTCTCACTAGAACTTCTAAGAAATTGCAAAAATATTTTTGTTCATGTTTCATCTTTTCTTATGTTATAAAAATTGTATTTGAAAGATCCTTTAATCAAGAGCAGCATTAGCTATAACAGTGTTTGTGATGGGAGTGTTATTACTGCCACACAAACTTTCTCCCAACACTAAAGAGTAAGATGGATCCTATTGCTTACAGCCCTCATGACCCTTTTTGATAAATCAAATTTATCAAAATAATCTTACTATATTTGAAAGGAGAAAATATCTTCATGCTGTCAATAAATTTATAACAGCCATATAAATGGGTTTTGGTAATCACAGTCTTCATAGAATCCCAGAGTCTGGGACATGAATTTTCAGCCTTTTAGGAAAGATGCATTCCTATTACCAGCACCTTCCAGTCCCTCAAACAGCAAAGTGGGAGAAAATGGGAGGATGTGGCACTTGGGGACAGAGTTTAGTGGCAGTGCTGGGTTAATGGTTGGACTTGATGATCTTAAAGGCTTTTTCCAGCTTTAACAACTCTGTGGGTCTGTGTTTAGCAGCCCAGCTCCATGTTTAGCCAGCTCAGTCCTGTCAGCTTCCCAGCAATGGGATTCACAGACAGATATTTGTTAGTAATAAAGAGGGCACATCCTAGAGACCAAATTTGCCACAGATGGCAGCTCCAGTGGGAGGAGGGCAGATCAGAAGGGCACTTGCTACTGACGTCCATCCACTAGAACTGTTTCCATAAATACTGAAATAAGGAAGCAGGGATTAGGGGTTATTTTTCCCCATTGTTATGCACTTGGCATTTTCTCAAATTGTTCTAGTGTGTTGTAACATCAAGAAAAGAAACAGAACAACTCAGAGGTCACAATGAAATCACTCCTGATGAAATAAGAAAATGTTTAGCATGATTTCCACAAGTAGAATCTGTGGAAAAGCAAAGCCAAGGGTTTTACTTCCAGACCAAGCAGCTGGGATCTCTGCTGCAGGCATTGCAGACCCTAAATTCAGTAATGACTGTAAGACTGCCCAAGGTCAGCCACAGTTCATTCTCTGTAGAGTTTGGGACAGCTGGAGATGGAAACTATTATTGATATCCTTTTTGATTCACTTATTTCTCCTTCGGAGTGTATGGCAATAAAGGAGAGTAAGTCTTAAAGCAATACAGACTTCCCTCTGCACTCAAGCTGACAGGTAAACTGCCAGTGCTAGGAATAAATGTGCACAACTTAAATGCATCCAGTGCCACAGTAATCTAAGGATTTAAATTTTACACCACAGTCTCCTTTCTATCTGAGCGTCTGGGTTTCTCAGCTCTTCCATATATTAGGAAAATTCACAGCCTTAAAATGTAGATACACTCATCACACTACTGAACGATTACATTTTATATTAACTACTGACATTTCAAGGGGTTTTTAACTATTTTTGACTACAATATTGCAACCACTCACAGCTGTCAGATCTGAGTTGTAACTGCAGGTTTATGAATGTGGGCTTTGGCTAACAGCAAAAAACTGCAGTCATGTCAAACTTTTCCCATTTTAACCCACAGAAGTTTCAGGCACTCCAAAGTAATTGTGTCAGAGGTGCAGAGTTCTGTCAAACCAGCATTTTATTTCCATCTAAATCAAATCTCAGGAAGCTGACAGTTGATTCTGAAGACTATCCACGTGTCTTAATTATGCAAAATTCTCATCAATTGTCATTTTTTCCAACCATAAATTTCCTACCCACTTTCCTGCCTCTTTTCCAAGCACTATAAATATTAAGACTAACCAGTTGTAAACACTACTGAGATGACAGAAATATTTAGAAAGTGGAGTCCAGATGGAAATTACTCCTCAAGCCCTGCAAGGGATTTGTTACATTAACAAATACACATTAGAGCACGGCTGCTACTTAAGCTTTTAAATGACATCAGGTATTTACTGTTGCTTAACTAGCAGTTAGGACAATCTCCTTCCTCTGCATAGGAAATGAGGGCTGAGGAGAATGGTGCTGTCACTAGGGATAGTTGGTTGGGCTGTGCTGGGAGGAACAGCCTGGAGGGACACCCCCTTCAGAGAGGTGTAGTGGTTATTTGCTTGATGGATCACAGAATCATGGGTTGGAAAGGACCTTGAAGATCACTCAGGGAAACCCCCTACCATGGGCAGGGACACCTTCCACTATCCGAGGTTGCTCCAAGCCCTCTCCAGCCTGGGCTTGGACACTGCCAGTGCCAGAAGAACACTGAGAAATTTGCCTTTCACTGAGCAGATTGCAGTGAACACTAAAGCAAAGGCTCCAAAATCCTAACCAAGCACAATAATTCTTCACAGCTACTGTTCCACACACCACATCCCTCACAGAGTGAGGGAAAACTATGAACTTCTTTTGCAAATTCCTATTTTTCTGAAATTCTTATTGTCTATCAGCATTCTTGTTTAAGCCAACATGAAACATGGATGCACCTGCACATCAGGGACCTTGGAATGGGAGGGTTTGTCGGGGGGGGTCACACTGGGAAGAACACAGTGGCAGCAAAGTAAGAATCTATCACCTGTACCAGAACAGGAGGGTGAGGCTGGAGATCAGGGGAAGGCTCTTCCCCAGAGGGTTCTGGGCACTGCCCAGGCTCCCCAGGGAATGGGCACAGCCCCAAGGCTGCCAGAGCCCCAGGAGGGTTTGGGCAATGCTGCCAGGGATGCACAGGGTGGGATTGTTGGGGTGTCTGGGCAGGGACAGGGGTCAAACTCCATGATCCTGGTGGGTCCCTTCCAAAATTCACTGATTCTGTGATCCTACAAGTGAAGAAGTGTGTTACCTCCAGGGGTTTTTCAAAACACAAAGCAGATGAGCTACAAAGGTTTTGCAACAGGGAAGCCCTGCCGGAGAACAAGGAAAGGTTTAATTTCCACCAGCAGGCTTAGCATCAATAAGAGCCAAGGAACAACCTGGATACCCTTTGGAGAAGGCCAAGACAGTGAGAAAGCAGATGTAACAAAGGGCACCATGCACAAAAGCAGTTTGGCTCCCTTCTGCCAAACCAAGAGCCACTGTCCCTCCAGTGGCTGTCCCACACGCTGTGCCGAGGGACAGGGCAGGGAGCAGACAGAAGTCACCATATGGTGCCCTTTGAGCCTCCCAGTCCCCTCACAAGCTCCACTGCTGGACAATGCCCACGGAGCTGTTGTGGCCCTCCCGGTGTGACATTACCGCGCTGGGAACGCGCCGCCTCTGCCTTCATGAATAACCATAGTTAGTGTTCTGGGAACTGACCTGCCACTGCTGCCGGCTCCTCCTCCTCCAGGGACTCCTGGGTGAGCAGCTCTGCCAGAGGGGACAGGGGGTAGCAGCTGTTGAGGTTGAGCCCCAGCATGAAGTTGTGCACCTTGCCGGCACGACCCTCGCGTGTGTTGAACAGGGCGCTGTCCCCCACCAGGGCCATCAGCATGCGCTGCACCCAGCTCTCCTGGCTGCTCTCCTGCAGCCTCCCCTGGCTCTCCTGCTTGGCCTCAGCTCCCTCCGTGCCTGCACACAAAAATGGAAACACCCAGCAGTGTAACCCCACCATTGCAGTGGCTATAAAACAAAGGAGCTACGAAAATACAAAAGTTCTTTCAATGAGCCGGGGGCTGGATGATGGAGCTTTGAAACAATGATTTCAGAGAAGTGCAGAGAATTCATCCTTTCAACTTCACAGCCCAGTGAAACCTTTCATCTACACCTCAATAGTGTGGATGTGTCCATCAGGAAAATAACTGGGAACGTTAGATGACCAGAGCACGGCTTTCTCTGTAAGCTCAGGGACAGACCTGAGCTGATAAGATCCATACTTGATGTAGACATAAATTCTTCTGGATGTGCATTGATAGCCTTCTCCATCTCTCCTGCCGGTTAGAAATCCAGCTTTGCTCAGGAAAGCAGAGTTAATCAGCATAACGGATAATACTGTAGCATGGGAATTCTAAAATACCTGAAATTATCATTATAGTAAACTGTAGACTACAATTAATATCTGACTTTAATTAACTAAAGAATACAATGAAAGAGCCAGACTTAGATGTCTACAGTTGGAGCTCTCACAGTAAAAATGAGCTGGACTGGCACCACTCTCCATTCATTTACCTGCCAATACTTGAGTTTTTGAGGGTGTTTTGGATAAGAAAATAATTCAGGCTCAAGCTTGATACATTAAATTGAGCTTTTAAACTTTTAAAGCCTCTTTAAGCCAGGGTTTAAAGGAGCTGAGTTTTACATAAGTAGAGAGAAAACAAGCATCAGAGAAGTCCAACATCTGTCCAATAACATCCTATGGAAGTGAGAAGGATTTCCAAGTGTTTTACAATCCCAGATTTGTTGGTTGTTCACTATGGCTACAAACTAGGAGAGAAATGTGTTTGGTGCTGGCTGTAGTGTTTAAACAGGAAACCCACAAATAAACACAAAACCTGGTACCACCTACGGTTTTACACATAGCAGGAGCTGAAGAAGCAATCACTGAGCTGAGCTAATGACACAATTCCCTGTCTCCCCATACAGGATTGTCTTTTCTTCTGTAGATCCTGAAATCACAAACAGCTGCATTCTCAACTTTGCTCCACTTGCTAGAAATAAAACTCCATTTTTGCAGGTGAAAATCACCCCAAAAATATAATCAAATACAGAAAGCTGACTAAGGCACCAGAAATCTCCAGGTGCTTTAGGTTCTTAGAGGCAATTGTCAACAGAATCTTTTCTTCCCACTGCCCAACATTCCTTTTGTGGCTGTGCCTCTTCTGGGCACCTGGATTTGGGCACTGTTACAAACACTGTGCCATGCATGAGGAATTTCCTGTATCAGATGTCATTTGTAAAGGTGCTAGAAGACACTTGTGAATGATGGAAACACACATTAAACCATTCCCAGGTAAATATTTGATCACTAAACCCTTGAAAACAATGAACAGTGTTGGTTTAGAGGGCTGGCAGCAATTCCAAGGTGCCTCTGAGCTCAGCAGTTTGCTGGAAACAGACTTCTGAGGAACTCTGGCCCAGCAAACCACATTTTTTGGGATGTATGTGGAATTACAGACAGCTGAGAGAATCAGGAGACATGAAGAGAAGCCCAGTACCTCCTGGGGTCTCCTGTTCTCTATTTTGCTGAGCCACACAAAAGCTGATGGAAAAAGGAAACAATGAAATGAAATCTGAGCATTTCCTTACCTTTTGGATGCTGTGACTCATCTTCACTGTCTGAGCTGTCATTGCTCACAAGGTGCTTTAGCCTAATATTTTCTGTTGAAAGAAATATAAATTCCTTTAAACTGCTGGGGTTTAACTGGCAGAACAGTTAAGAATTTCAAAACAATCTGAGTCATAAAATTCTCAGTCTTTGTAACAGAAAATACATCTGAAGAAGACTGGGTCTGCTGTGGACATTAGAATGTGAGCAGCAGGTATTGGATTCAGCCTGCAATTTTTAGCCTGGAAAAGAAGATGCAACCCTAAAGCAGTACCTCCCACTCCCCTCTGCATACCTGACACACTTTATTCACCTTCATTAAAATGTAGATGTTTTGCTTCTGTCCTCTCAGTAGCTCCTACTGAACTAGGAAAATGTTACTGTGGTGCCAAGGTGGCACTGGGACATCTCCAGCTCTGCTCCAGACTGTGGTTCAAGTCACATAAATATTTTCACACCTGATCCCACTTCAAAGAGTATTTTTTAAATGATATGTGAAATGAATCACAGATGACAAATAACATTCTGTGTCTCACTATCTTTCAAAACCAAACTTTTCCATGATCACAGTTATTGACAGGGATCCTCCACGAGGAGGTGTTAACACTCAGGAGCTGTACCAGAAATCGGAACCTGGATTTACCTGGTCTCATTCTCATCCACAAAGAAGAGATTAGCAAGTAGCTGAATTCCATCCATTAGGAGGCAGACAGAGGTTATTATTTAAAAACTATCTCAATCTACATTTGCTCTTCTTGCTCTTCAGAAAGCTCTGGCTGTCTAGGACAATTTATTTATTGGTCAGATCTTCCCCTGTAATGCTGTTTTTTCAACAGGAAGCAAAAGTATGAAAAGCCTTTTATCGTTAACTACATTCTCAGATAAAACTCAATGAAGTCCATCCAAACCAAGCCACAACTCTTTCTTTACAGTCACCTTGTCATTTCTCTACCAGGAGTGAAACCAGAACCACTCAATTTGCAAGCAAAGGACCAGATAACCAACAGGCTGTGGTTAGAATGGAGAAATTTAACAACCCAGAGGTGAGAAAATTCAGGTGCATTTTGCTAAACCCTTCAATAGCCCAGTGTCAAAAGACTATACGAGTAACTATTAAATACTTGTCAGCTTCTGCTCTCAAAAATCACATAACAACATGAAGAGAAGATTCTATTAACTACCAGAAAAGAGCTTGATAGATTCATGTGACTTTCAGCAGCTCTGAGTGACCAGAAACAAAAATGAAAGAAAGGAAAGAACATTCCCAATGCTCTTTCCCCACCTCAGCAGCATCCAGCAGTGCCAGCAATTAAAGGTAATTAATTCCACATTCTTAAATGACTACAAGCAGTGCCATCCTTCTACAGAGGGAGAATCTTGCTAGTAATTGCTCTGCACATTGGAATTATTTACTAATAGTACCTAATTCTTCTTCCATGGTGGGCCCTTTATTCTGAGAATTGGAGACACCAAGGACTCTGTTAAATAATATTGAAAATGCACTGCCCCAGACACCTGAAAGAGAAAAAAATAAACACTGAATGGTGATGGGCAGAAGGAAAATAAACTCCACATATTTTAATAAGCACTATTGAAGCAGTTGGTTGCTCTCTGAACACACCTCCGAGTCTGGAGCGGGCCAAATCATAAGCTCAGATGTTCAAATCACAACAAAACCCCACAGAAATTAGAAATAAATCAACAATGCCAATCCATATCTGTGAAATCTTTCAAATTATGTCTTCCAACAAACTGAGAGCTCCACTTCCTGTCTCCACACTTTGTGTGACTTCATTTAAAAGTCCATGAACTACTGAAATTGCTTTTCATTTTAAGTCTCTTTCTGTCACATACTCACCCATCAGGAAATGCAAGGGATTTTCAGCATATTTCTTCACCACTGTCCCCATAAAAAACTTGCTTCCAAACAGATCAGGAGACATGAAAGTGCCATACTTGGCCATTCCAATTTCATATGGACTGAACTCCACCCAGTCTGCAAAGTCAGAAACAAAACTGCTCAGTCAGAAATCTCGGGATGGAGGAAAATGATGGAGAAATGAAGCAAGCAAAGAAATTTTAGTGACATGGGAAGCCAAATAACCATTAGGAATATAAAATGAAGATCAGTGATGTTTCAGCAGGGAAACAATCCTCATTTCTCTTATCACAATAAACTTTGGTGAAAAGAATGAGGTTGGAAAACTAGAGGTATTAAAGGAGAGATCAAAAATGAGGATTACACAGTGACATCTGGTTTTCATCCCCTGCTTCAGCATGGTTCCCTGCCACATGTGGGTCTCAGCTCCAAGCTGCTTTTCCTTCACTGCAATTCCACCAAAAATGGAGAGCAGTGACAGAGGTGGCACAAAACCAATTACTGAATATCCCAAGGGTTGTGAAATATTCTAGCAGAGGCATTTGGATTCTACCCAAACCTAAAGTTTTGTGCAAAAGCCAATATCAAAAGCAAGGCTGAGAGGCAGCTGATAAACTTATCAATTCAAACATTGCCAAAGATCTCCTTAAAAGTCCATTTTATTGAACAGAGAGCTCAAGAAAAATATGGAATAAGACGTTCAAATGCATTTTCTCATCTTAGCAGAAAATATCAAAAGTGATGTGGATTCTATTAATGGAGGCCTTTGAAAATGGATCTTAGCTGACTTGGAAACACTTTTTTTTTTTTTTATACCAGTGGAGTTGCTTCCATCAGAGAATTCAGTTCAAAAAGGGAGCAAATAACAAACAAAACATATCTTCCCTTTTTATCATTTCACCCATTCATCTATTTCACCTTCCCTATTTTTAGCAGGGGTTGATTTGACTGGAAATAAACCAGAAGTAATTCTGAAACAGAAAGGTGAAAGAGACAGCTTGGAAATATCCCCACATGTCATCCACCCTCAGGATATTCCTGCTGACGTGGGGAACAGAAGGTGAACACTTGTCCCAAAAAGGAAAGATTTAATCATGACTGCTGGGAGTTTCATTTCAGGTAAGGGCAATGCTTATCTGAGCTAAGTCAAATACAACATCCTATTTTCCAAATAAGTCACCCACAAATCTTCACATTCACTGGAACAGAAGGTAATTCCACTGAAGTCCCAGTCCAGGAATTTCATATTTCCTTTTAGCTGTATAAACATGAATTGGCAGATATGTGTGCAGAACCAGGGTGACAGCAAAGTTGAACTGAGAATTAGAATTAATTTGTGTTAGTCCATCTCCAGCTTGCATTTGCACTGAAGGAGATTTCTCAAATCACAAAGCCTGCTCAGGGAAACAAAATTTTTGCCTTAGAATCAATGTAAATTAGGAAGTGTAAATATTTCTGTTCAAAATTTACAAGAGCTCTCACATCAGGAAAAACTAAAAGGAGGAAGAGATCTTAAAATAAGAAGCAATCAAGATCCAGCACCCTCTGCAATGAGAGATGTCAGCCTCAAAAGGCAAACCCAAGATATTCCCTGGCACAGGGAATATCTTTCTATAGAGCAAAGTAAAGCTCCTGATCTTGCTTATAGAAAGACATTATTAAGAAAAGATCATTTTGGTTTTAAAACAGTAATCCAGTTACAATATATTGAAAAACAGAAGTTCATCTAAAACCCAAAATACTCCTACTTTCAAACAAAGAGGTATCAGTTTCCTAAGTAGCAAAGTTAAAGACACCTTTTCCCATGAAATATTCAGCCTAATTTACAATTCCTCATTTTCATTTCCAATCCAAACTTTGACAGCCACTTCTCCGAATAACTATTTTAGGAAATACAATGACATTGTATTTTAGGCAAATGACAATGATATTTTAGGAAATACAATGAGGCAAACCACCTGGCACTTCCCTTTCCTGTATATAACTATAGATGTACACATCCTTATCTTAGTGTACATCTCCCACAACTGGACCCACTCTCAACTGAAGTTACCAGAGGGGATTAAAACCTATGGAATAAATACAAGTAAAAGGGTTTTTTTGTGTTACCAACAGCACTTCACACTGGGCAAGAAGTGAAAAAGAGGCATTATACCTAATTTGTTTGTCCAATTTTAATCACAGAATCATTAGAGTTGGTTAAGACCTCTAAGATCATCAAGTCTAACTGCTGATGTCACCCTTCTCTGAAAGAGAAGGTGACTGAAGATATATTTTCCTTTTCCTGTTTGATATCCTAATTTAAACATCTTTTCCCCTGCTGAAGTCACCAGATTTCTCTTTGGCTTGGCACTCCTACCTGAGTATGTCATCACCTATCCCTGAGTAACTTCCTATCACCCTGTCAGATTCCCAGAAGTCAGATGCAATTAGTCTCAGATACATTAAAAAGAAAAAGGGTTTTTTAACCAGCCACACACCTCCCTCCTTGCCACAAGTGACTCAACACAGACTGGGAACACACCTGCAAACATCAGCTCTGAGACATCTGGTTTGACATGCAGACAGGTGAAGAGTGGCAGAGCACACTGGGCATTGCTGACCTTCTCTTTCATATTGCTCAGAGTGGTGTCCATCCTCTGCAGGGAAAGAAAGACATTGGTCCCAAACACATCCTGGAAAGGCCTGCTCATATATATACATATATATATAAAGGTAAATATCACATTTTTTTATTTTATATAAAGATCTGGGAGTCTCCTCCTGTCAATGAAATTTGATAAGAAAAGTTTCTCACTGATGCGTCAGGTTCTGATTTAAATTAAACATCTGTGCATTTTTTTCATCCCTTGGTACACACGGACTTCTAACCAACCTCACACAATCATTAACACCCCTTCAGCATCAGAATTCTATACATCTGCCACTAAATGCTGTGTTGCCTCTTTTTCAGTGTTTTAAATTGTTTAAAACTCATTATCAGTATAGGGATAGAAGTGTATAAAACACATCTGCAAATCTACTGACACATTTCAATCTCGCCACAAGACCAAATCCAGCTTCTGCTCACCTGACTCATTTGAACTGGAAGTCTTTGTGCTTGATTCAGCCAATTAGGAATTTTTAATTATAGAATACAACAGTGTGAAGCTCTCCTGTTGTCTTATTTTCAAACAAAACCAAGGGGATCTTTCACGTTGAAATTAGTACTTTTTAAAGCAAATGCTGTTTCTTATTGTCACAGGATGACAATATTTATGAAAAATCCTTCCCTTTGGATTTTTTCTCCTGAGAAGCTGAGAGGCCTCAGGAACAAAATGTAAAAAATGATTACCTGCTGCTGTGGAATGCAACAGGTGGATCTGTGATTGGTCTCATGTGGTTTTTCTAATTAATGGTGAATCACAGTCCAGCTGTCTCAGACTGTCTCGGTCAGTCACAAGCCTTTATCATTCTTTTTCTATTCTTAGCTAGCCTTCTGATTAAATCCTTTCTTCTATTCTTTTATTATAGTTTTAATAGAATATATATCATAAAATAATAAATCAGCCTTCTGAAACATGGAGTCAGATCCTCGTCTGCTCCCTCATCCTGGGACCCCTGCAAACACCATCACACTTATAGCAAAATGTGCACCCTTTATTAGATGTCCCTAAGGTAATTTCAAAGAAATAGTAACAATGGGAATGATATAAGAGTTTGTCAGCTTTAACAGCATCAAACAGTAGTTTTTTAAGCAAATGTTGCTTCTTATAGAAAAATGTCCACCCTTTATTAAATGCAACTAAGGTAATTTAAAAAAAATAGTAACAATGGGAATCGTATGAGAGTCTGACAGCTTAAATGAGCACTCACATCATGGATCAGTGTTTCCCCTATGAGCATGCCAAAGATGTCAGTGAAGGTGACAGGCTGCCCTGAGCTCTTCTTGTTCCACAGGGCCTCGATGTAGCGCTTGACCTTCTGCGGGGTGAGCAGCAGCAGGGGGTTGTGGCTCACCGAGTGCATCAGCTCCTCATTGATCTCCTTTGGGCCCTTGGCTGGGAAGTCAGGGTGGGAATACAGAGTTGACATATACCTGCAAGGGCAAACAGGCTCTGTGAGCATCAAACCTGCTGCAGTGTCAGCTGCCTGGAAGCTACACGAAGCTCATACATGAGCTGATACAGGTACTGATTAAATCAGGTTAATTAACTCCCCATTTATACAGGAAATTTTAGTCTCCTTTTCCTCAAAGCACAGAAAGCTGAGCAGTATGTTCTAAATATAAGCACAGGATCATACACTCAACATGCATTTTCCGTAATGTGTATGAAGCAAATGATTAAAGAGTCCTCATTTTTCTCTTTAAGGGATAGCAGACAGAACATGCTAAGCTGAAAGAAGCTCCTCAATTAGCATAGCTGTGTGGCAGACTGAGGTGCTAGAAGGACACATGCAGCTCTCTCCCTGTAAGAGTTACCTTTCTGCCCTCCAGTTCATTACCATTACTGAAAAATTCCTAAAATATCTCAGTGTATCACAGAATACCAGAATGGTTTGGATTGAAAGGGACCTTAGAGCCCATCCAGTCCCACCCCATGCCATGGGCAGGGACACCTTCCACTGTCCCAGCTTGCTCCAAGCCCTGTCCAGCCTGACCTTGGGCACTGCCAGGGATCCAGGGGCAGCCACAGCTTCTCTGGGCACCCTGTGCCAAGGCCTGCCCACCCCCACAGGGAACAATTCCTTCCCAATATCCCATCTAAACCTACTCTCTGGCAGTGGGAAGCCATTCCCTGTGTCCTGTCACTCCATCCTTTGGAAAATGTCTCTCTCCATGGTTCCTGTCAGCTCCTTCAGGCGCTGCAAGGCCCCAGTGAGGTCACCCCAAAGCTCCTCCTCTCCAGGCTGCACAATCCCAGCTGTGCCAGCCTTCCCTCCCAGCAGAGCTGCTCCATCCCCCTGCCCATCCTGGTGCCTCCCCTGGGCTCTCTGCAGCAGCTCCAGCTCCTCCCTGTGCTGGGGCAGCTCTGCAGGTGGGGTCTCACCTGAGCTCAGGGGCACAGGGGCACAATCCCAATCCCTCCCCTGCTGCCCAGGCTGGCGCTCAGCCCAGGGAAGGGGGTTCTGGCCTGGATATGGCCCCACTTCCCAGGATATGTTGCTTCCATAATCAACAGAAGCACAGTAACTACAACCTGCACAGAGAGCTGGCTGGCTGTGAGGATGAGGTAAATCATGAGTTTGTCACTAAGAAACAAGCTTAACTTTACTGCAAACAAAGCTCAGACACACGTGCAGGCAGCCCTGGCTTCCACTTGGTTGCGTTAGGTCACACCAAGACAGGCCCTTCTAATCTGTGAGAGGCTCATTTACTATTATTTACCCAGTGACCTGGCCCAGGTACACATGCCTTACACTCCTGGCACAGCTCTGAGACACACACAGGGTCAGCCTGGCCCTGAGGTCATGCCCAGCCATCTGTGTGACAGCACAGCCAGCCCTGTCCCACGTGGGCTGCCAGGGCTCCATGTGAGCTCCTGGGTGCAGGGAAAGGGGGATGAAGCTGGAGGAGCCAGGTTGAAGCAAGATGGCAGGAAAGCATTGCTCCAAGGTTAGGCATGCAGCTTAGGGGACAAGTAAAAACCTGCCTGTCCCACCAGGAAAAAAAAGAAAAGAGAATTATTCCCAAAAAACAGACTACATGGAAAAGAAAGAAAAGGAAGGGAGTGCCAAAGTGTCAATTTATTTATTCATCAAGCAAGGAAAGACTGAAGGATGACATCAGAGAGCAAAGACAAATTTGTGCAAACACAACTGTCTCCAATCTGTTTCTGACTGGAGCAGTTCAGATAATCTAATATAAATTATAATCTCACTATTTTAACTCAGATTTTATAGGTTTACATTAGATCACCTACGCATTCACCCCTGGGTTTTTCCCAAAAAGGACCTCACAGCCAGCAAAGTGACGTCTGTCCTGAGCAGGGACTGCAAACCCTCCCCTAGAAACACAGGTAATGTTTTAACACCACAGTCTAGTGCTCTTCATCCACCTTCTGCTTCTCACAGCTGTGACACAGGTCCATCCATCTGTCTCAATGGACAGTGATAAATCTTTCCCCACCACCAGAGACAGAAAACACAGTTTGCCACCTTTTATAGTCCAATCTAAAGGAGAAATTTACTCTAGTTCACAGATACTTCTGGCATTTCAAAACCTCCTGGCATTCTGAAAGCTTCCCTCTAGTCTGGGAGAGGGGGAAGCAATCTTCACACAATGAAAAATAATTGACAAAAAAACCCCATACATGGAATAGAACTGATAATCATCTCCTTCAAGAGTCAACTCTGGGGTTAGAGTGTGGAATTAAAATTCATGTGCTTCCTTAGAGCTAAACCAGGTGATAAAGTTCATCCCAGGCAGATTCCCTGCTTGTTCATACTACAACAAGTCTTTTTCTCTCAAAGAATTGAGACAATTGTATAATCCCATCCCTGAGTCTAAAAGGACCCTCAGGTCTCTGCTCCAGCCTCCTGGTGCTCAGTCAAGTTCAGCTTTCACATGAGCACTGAGTCAGCCTGAGGATGGCTCAACACATTCCCCTGCTTAGCCACTCTCACTGCAGCAATTCCCCTAAGAGTTCATCTAATTACTCTTTGTCCTTTCCCTAAGGATCTCCAAAAATAATTTGTGTTCTTCACATCTACTCATCAGGAACTGAAGATAACAATAAGATATCCCTTTTCAATGCCTGTGCCTGCTCCTCAAGGTTAAATGAACTATTTTAAAACCTGATGCACTGTCTAAATTAAACAGTGCCAGTGGGACTGAGACGGGGGGTAATCCACAGAGGGATGCCCTGCAGGGTGGCCCCACCCATCCCCAGTCAATCCACCAGGATTTTACACTGGCTGTAAAATGAAGCAGAAGATCTTTCAGTGATTTTGAGGAGCTCTAAAAGCCCTCCTGAAGCATACAACAGATTTTGTGTTGATTGAGTCATCAGCTTCAAATCACAAGGGATATTTTTTTTTTGGTTTTTCATTTTTCATAAGGAAAATGAAACAACACACATTAGGTGTTGATATAGAAATATGGGTGCATATGTGTGGCACCTCTTTCCATCCATTCCTGCTCTCAAAGCTCCTGGGAAAGCACCTGGAGTTGTCCTTGCCCTTTGGGGCATCCAAAACACCTCCCCCAGCAGACCTGGATGTGTAACACGTGCTGTGAATTATAACCATAGAAAGAAGCCAGCTCTGGTGACAGTTCCCTCAGAACCCGCAGCAGGGAAGCTGAGGATAAGCAAGAGGAAGGCCTTACCAGGTGGATCCGGAGAGCCCAGCAATGTAGGTGGCACAGTCCAGGACTCCTGACTCATAAAGTGCTTTCATGACTCCAGCAAAGCCCACCATGGCCCGGAACCCCCCTCCCGAGCCCAGCACGGCGATCACCGGCACCTGCAGGGAGGAGACAACACCAGCACCACATCAGGGACAAGGGACGCGCCCTGGGAGCATCCAGCATCCACCCCACACCCCAACAAGAATCAGAATTAATTGATTTAATGTTACAGGTCACCACTTGCAGCATAAAATAAATCTGTCCTTCTTATCCATGATGCAAAATAGAGGAGATATTAAATTTAGTTATTAAATGAACTTTTCACTTACAAAACCACTGGGAATTTTAAAGGAATCTAAACACCAGCTTTAATCCAATTTGTATCATTGTGACAGAGCCAAAGGCAGTAACATTTACTAATGAGAAACAGAACAGAGACAAATAATATTTTGACTGGGAGTTTATAAACAAGTTTTATAAGAAAAACATCCACTATTACTACAAAGCATGAAGACAGTCTCAATTTTACCACCACTTTGCAAAAACTATCAGAGAGATAATGGAAATTCATGGGGATCTGGACAACTCCTCAGCTATCAAGAGAGGAGTGAGCAGAACCATGTTTATTATGGCACCAGGTTAAAATTGCGCCCACAGGGGTTCATTTTACACTTTTCTCCTTCTTACTGCCCAGCCCTGACATCCAGGCTGTTCCCCTCAACTGCACAGCTTCCCCAGGTATCTAAAAAGTAGACAAAATAAAATAAAAATTCATTTGCTCCCACCATCATGTGTTTTGGCCTAAGTAACAGCCCAGGAATTTTGGCCCAGTTTCCAAAATCCAGGAGAATTTTCCACTGTTCAGGGGTGACAAAGGAACCACCTATTGATTGTTACTGAGCACAAAAAGAATTACACAGCTGTGCAGAAAGCCCGTATCTGATCAAACTGCTAATCTGTCAAAAATCTCCCTGAAAGGCAATTCCAGCTGCCAATGGACAGGATCAGTGACAGGAAAAGGATCCATGTGATGACAGAATCCTGTTCTTTCTGCAGACTCCATGCTCCAAGCCATGAAACTCCCCTGAGGACTGACTGTCCCAAGGAAATGCCCATGAACAATGACCAAGGCACTCAAGATGTTTCTTGAGGCTTCCACTCCCCAAAACTGCTTATTCTTGATGCAGTGAGACTGTTCTGTTCCCTCCTTCATAAGTGCTCAGCTTTAGTAATAGAAACCACAGGTATTCATGGTGCAGCTCCAGAGATAGGGATCTATCCCAAAAATGACACAGCCCAGGGAAGGATTTGGGATATGTTTTGTTAAGCCAACACCCCAATAACAGAGTAGCTGCTTTGAAGGAAGAGCCATGTCAGCAATCCCTCCTTTAATCACCTGGGGAGGCTTTGAAAGCTCCTCAGGAGCACTGCCCACTCAGCCTGAGCAGACACATCCCAACAGGATGGAGATGTCACCTGCAGGTGCAAGCCTGGAGAAGGCATGTGAGAACACTCCCAGAGCTCCACTGCTCCACCCACCAGTGCACTAGCACTGAGAAAATGGGAGAGTCTCTCAGGAGGCAGAGGAATCCACTGTGGAGATGGGCTGGGAATGCCCAGGAGAGTCACCAACATCCTGACTGCAAATGCTTCCTGATCCACAGGCAGTCTGGACATCCCAGGCTCCTGCACTGGGAAGGGTGGGTACAGCAATGGGAAGGTGGATTATGGAATCAAAATCCTTCAGAGGTTGGAAAAGACCTCCAAGATCATCAAGTCCCAACATCAGCCCAACACCACCACCATGTTCACCACTAAATCTTGTCCTCAAGTGCCACAAACACACTTTTTGGATACTTTTAGGGACGATGATTCCACCACTGCCCTGGGCAGTCCCTTTCAATGCTTTACAGCCCTTTCCATGAAGAAATTTTCCCTAATATCCAACTTGATCATCTCCTGGCACAGCTCGAGGCCATTCTCTCTCATCCTGTCTCTGTTCCCTGGGAGCAGAGCCTGACCATCCCCAGCTGTCCCCTCCTGTCAGGTTTGCTACATCAGCTTTTAACTCCAATTCAGTTTCTGACATGTTTAAGGGCACAAAACAGTAAAAACTGAAATGAAAGACACCCAACCTGCAAGTTGCTCTATGGGATAAATAGGGCAGACGCAGGGAGGGGGAGAATGAGCTGCACCCAGAGCACCCAAAGCCAAGAATCAAGAAACCACATCCTGATGAAGAACAGAGAAAAAGAGGATACCAAGGGCTGCACACTCCTCTACTGAGCCCCAAAACCTTTGTATAGAGCCACCAGCACATGAGTTCACTCAAACCAGAAGGTTCTTAATCCTATCTTCCAGTAATCAGGCAAGAGAAAGCTAAACCATACTAAATCTTGTTTTGGGAATGAGTAGTGCAGATGTCTTTATCCAAATGCCCTGCAAACACAGTGCACAAAGTCTGAATATCTGTGGTGGGAAAAGAATGCCATAGGGCACACAAATGATTATTAAAAAATTGTTCTGCAAATCCAGTCATAGAGAACTATATGCTTTCTCTGGAAGATTATGGTATTTTTAGAAAATTGCTTGAAGCAACAAAAATTAAAAAAATAAATTGAGCAATAACAGAAGTACGAGAAATCTCTACCTCTGTGTTTCCAGAACGTGCCTCAGGATTAAGTTAGGAAATTTGGAACTACTCACTTCCCCATGCAGACATGTATAATAAATTCAGAGGTATTAAAGTCTCTCAGCATCCCTGCAAAGCACAAGTCACTCACAGATGAAGCAACTTAGGTGAATTTTGAGTATGTGACTTGTCCAAGATTAAACAAGGCCCACATACAGCTAAAACTACTCAATGTCTCCCAACCTCATGTTAAGACTTCAAACATCCCATAAATCCTCCTGCTACCTTCCATCTGTAGTAATAAAAGTAAGACTACAGTTTAATTTGAACAAAAAGGGTTTTTTCATTGCTAGAAAGAGATAAAAACTCTGTAAGCTTAGAAATACACATTTGGCATATGAAAAATGGGAGGATACCTACAGTTACTGTCTGGGAAGATGCAATTTAACTGATATAATTTCACTACTGGAGTCAGTGAGGGATACCAAGGGAAGATGATGACAAAGAATAAGAAATCTTAGCTGTCCTTTGTAGTAATTCATGCACAGATACCACCTGCATGGAACTGAGACCTGAGGCACTGAGGATCACTCCAGTTCCAACTGGAGTTTGGCAGAGTAACCACATCCTTTCTGTGGAAGATCTTATTCTGCTCCAGGTCACACCAATGTCACACTGACAGATTCCTACTCTGATAGGATCTGCATGTGTTAAGATTAAAATAACTGAACTGAAAATTAAGAAACTTTGAAAATGTTCCTTCTCAATACACACATATTTTCTCCCAGTCCAATTAAAATATGTACAATTCTTGTTAAATTCTTTCATGTTCCGCAGAAAGTTTCATTAAGCAAGACAGAGTTCAAAAGTACACTACAATAAAACATTTACCACCTGCTCAAAACTTCAGGGAAATGTAAAAGATACTCTTCAGTGCTGGCTACAAAAGACTGTCACATTCTCCTTATATTAAAAATGCACAAAAGGAATCAAGAGCAATGAAGGGATTAATCCAGATTAATTCATGGATTTTGTTCATTGCTTGACACCTCCACAGGCACAAAGTGTTCCTGTCACAATTCTGGAAGCAGCGCAGAGAGGGAAGGGACAGGGAAGGAAGAGGATGGGAAAGCTCCAACAAAATAAGTAGATCTGTACCAAGTGGATTCTTAATTAACTCTAAATAATGAAGTGTTTTATGAAACCATTCTGTGAGGCCTTGGCAGAGGGTGCCCACGGAAGCTGTGGCTGCCCCTGGATCCCTGGAAGTGTCCCAGGCCAGGCTGGACAGGGCTTGGAGCACCCTGGGCTAGTGGAAGGTCTCCCTGCCCATGGCAGGGGGTGGCATAGGATGATCCTTTCAGCCCCTTCCCACCCAAACCATTCCCTGATTCTGTATAATGTCCCAAGCCACCACCAGCCCACTGTGATCTGCTGGCTTCTCTTCCTCTTGGCTTGGTCCTAAGCACCAGCAAGTCAAGGAAAGCTGCAGTTCCTCATGTTTCAAAGAAATAAAACTTCTTAGTCCTAATCCAGTCAAACTGGCTCAAGAAAAAGAAGGAAGGGAAGAAATAAACTAATTTCCAAGCTGACTCTAAATTTAAACCAGCTCATTTCCTGTCTAGTCTTTCAGAGATGAAGGTCACAGAGCATGGGATGGGTACTGGGCATGCAGGGGCATATTATGTGCTGGATGAGTGCCCAGAGCCACTGCAGGATTCAGCAGGTATTTCACACATCCTGGGGCACTTTTCAGATGGCAATCTCCCCTCACAGCCAACACCTTAACAAACGGGAAAAATCAGAGCAGTTTAAGGGGCAAATGAATCACAGAACCCCAGAATGATTTCATTGGAAGGGACCTTAAAGCTCACCCATTGCCACCACAGGGACACCTTCCACTAGCCCAGGCTGCTCCAAGCCCTGTCCAACCTGGCCTGGGACTCTTCCAGGGATCCAGGGGCAGCCACAGCTTCTCTGGGCACCCTGTGCCAGGGCCTCCCCACCCTCACAGGGAAGGATTTCTTCCTAATATCTAATCTAAATCTCTCCTTTTATAGTTTCCCCCAGTCATAAACTTTAATTTCTAAATTTAGAGCCAAGAAAAATTACTCTCCAGGCTAAATATTTTATGTTCACAGAAGAAAAGGATTTTTATCACCTATAATCTTTCTCCATCAAACCCTTCCACCTCGCACGCCTCATTCTTTCCTCTGGCAGGCAAATGAAGGATTCCAAAGGGGATGCTACAGTTCCTGCTGGGAACTCTGCACACTTACATCACGGGAAGAGGTCAGGTTGTGGCTCTTCTCCCCCAGGAATGATTTGATGCTGTGCATGATGTTGTCTCTGCGCTGCTGCCGGAACCTCTTCTCCTCGTCGCACAGCGCCATGCTGAACCGCAGGTCCGTGGAGGAGCTGGTTGGGAAAGGGACAGCCTGTCACAAGGGGCTCAGTTCCAAACAGCATCACTAACACCTCCCTGGGAAACCAGCAGAAAATCCTCACACACTTACAGAAGATGAAATAAAATTGTATTTTTCATGTGACGCCATCCATCTGCTCTAGAGTGATGGAGGCAAAGAGCAATGTGTCTTTAAGATGTGCATTTTATATAGAACTCATTAAAAGCAAATAATTAAATACAGCAAGTATTATCTGCACTCACATACAATTATAAACTACAGCACAGGAAAAACTGAGCCCTTTTCTCAGTATTTTTCTCTACGTTGTGGGATAAAAAATGTACACAAGGCTGCGTAAGGATCTCAGGGCTGTACTTAAGGTACATCTTCAGCTGCCACTTCCCATGGACAGCAAAGAGGAGTGGACAAATCCACCCTGGTCCCACTGAAAAGCATATGGTGGTGAATATTTAGCATATTTAGGCTCAAACAATAATTCCCCAGATTGGTGGAATGGATCTGTTTAGGCTCAGAAAATAACTCCCCAGATTGGTGGAATGGATCCATTTAGGTTCAGATAATAATTATCCTATTTTTAAAACAACCTATTATGCAATAAAATAATAGGATTAAGAGAAGGGGTAAAAAGAGTCCCTAGAAGCAATGTTCCATGAAGATATCCACAATCTGCATGGCTATCAGGGAATAGCAGCAGAACTTGATAAGATCCTTTACATTTCAAAGCCTAAGAAGACAGAGCCAAGCATCTTGTGTTTATTTAATGTCAGAGATATGAAATATTTGTACAGTACAAAGCCTGGCTTGTTCAGGGTGGTCTCAAGGACCACCCACAAATGCATTTTCCTAGTACAACATGATGAGCAGAAATTATCCCTGGGGGATGTTTGTCATCCGGAGTAATCAGGAAATAACTTGACTATTACAGGGCTCAGTGCTCCTATTTATAGCTACAGACAATAAATGACTCCTTAAATTCCTTGCTCTCAGAAAATAATTTTTAGACTTGAAATGTATTGTTCTGCTTATGCCTCAATATGATTTATGGTCTTTCACCAGGATAGGGGAAGAATGAGGGGGAAAGACAGCTAGAGAAGGGGAAAAAAACATAAGGGACAAATAAAGGTAGGCATCTGCTTAGCTTTTACATGGAGAACTCCTAGCCCTAAATCTTCACCTAAAGCTTCATTGTGCAGTATTTACATTTAAATACACTTGAGGAGCAGCTCTGTAACAGCAGCTGAAAGTTAATGTGAGGGACCAAGTTGCCAGAGAAGGTAAAACAGTGAGGATAGAGCTGCACCTGAGTGACGTCTGTGGATTTTTTAGAAACAAAGCCCTTTTTTGAATGAAAGAATGAAATGCCTTCACATAAACCAGGCTGGGAGATCCATGTGGGATGGCCTCATTCCTGCAAACATTTGGAAGGATCACACCTCTTAGTCCCAGTGAGGGTGTTTAGTCAATAACAGAATTACAACGTGAAAATAAACCAAAGTTGTAAAATCTCCTCACTTTTACAGTACCTGGTATTTCTACGCTACAAAAGGGAATTTCTGCACTCTATTTCACATGTTTTTAAGAAAATCCCAACAGGGTGGGACTCTTGGGGTGTCCTGTGCAGGGCCAGGAGTTGGATGATCCTTATGGGTCCCTTCAAATTCAGGATATTCTGTGATTCCATGAACATTTTAATGAACAGTTTAAAATAAAAAAAAATCCTTTGCTGCTGGTATATTTTCATCTGTTTTTAAAAAAAATATATGAGATACTCACCATACTTCCAGAGACAATTCCAAAGTCATTTCTGTGACCTAAACAAGAAATACTTAAATATTGTTATAGCACTTAGAGAGGGAAAACTCACAAACACACCTGGAACACCAACTACTACTGTCAGAACTTTTCTTTCTTTCTTTCTTCTTCACTTTTTTTCAAAGGAGGGTATTTTTGGCACCTACAAATGAGATCCTTTTCTATGGATTTTTATTTTAAAGCACACAGTGTGATTCCAAAATACACCACTAGAATTGAATACAGTGGAAAATGTTGGTAAGTGCTGGCTTTCATTCCTCAGATCCCACTGTCTTGCCTTTCTTGCACTGCTAATCCCTTTCTGACATGCAGCTCATCCCTGTCCTGAGGGGATCTGATGCTCTTCACCCACTCATGGCTGGCAGGAGAGCCAGGGGATCACACCTAAGTGTCACCTGTGTGAGGGAATCACTGCTCTGTGTCCCACAGGAGCCACCAAGTGTCTCTCCACAGCTAAATATGGCTTAATTAGCAGTCAGGAAGGGTGACTGCTTCCAGCTTGCTGGAAAATGCAATAAATGTCACTGCACAATGGCTTCACTTGCCAGCCACACTGAACTGCCTGGCCATGAGCTATGGGTTGGCCTCCTCTGCCTTTCACTGAGCACAGAAAGCATTGCCTGCAGGCAAGAAGTTAAAAAACAATGATTAAAGCACCAATTCCCTGTCAGGCACAATTCAGGAGTACTGGCTGTGGAACTCAGACAGAATGGAGAGGGTATTTTCACCTTCCCTCTGTGCAATGGCCTTGCTGCTGCAGCCCTGGAGGAGTGACAGACTCAGTGTGTCCTCTGTGTAAAACCAGATTCTCCTCCTCACTTGGGGCATGTGAGCACCAGGGATGGAGCCACAACAGCCCACACTGAAGGGCTGCCTGACCCTCAGACTGCAGAGAAGGATCTGGGATGCACAGCTGCCTCTGACTCCCAATTCCTGAAATGGGAATTGCAAATGAGGCAGGGCATGAGCAAGGTGCGGGGAGAAAGAAAGAACAGGCAGAGAAACAACAAAGGGAGGACGTGAAGGAACAGTGAAGACTCACTGAGGAAGCACTTCAAAGGCTGGGAAGCAATTACACTATTCCCCACCTGGCATTACTAATTTAGAAAGCACTCCTGAAACCATGCAGTGATCCAATGCTTATAAAAATGTATGCAGATGAAAGAAACCCTTGGAGGGAAGCATTCCAACAGGGAGATTTCATGGCATTTTCTATACCTTACACAGACTGCCACAGACATTTCAGGAATATTATTTCATTTTCAGTTTCAGGAATTCTGTGTATACATTGTCTACATCGGGCTCCACCTGACTTCATCTCCCCTTAAGCATTTGCTTATAGATTTCAGAGTGTATTTGCCTTTTATGCACTGGTTTTTTGCCCTGTGACTCCCTACCAAGCTTTGCTGAACACTGATGAGAAGTTCAAGCAAGGCAAGGCCTTGTATTAATGGAATGAGCTCTGTGAACTGTGTTTGCAAAACGCATTCATCAGTTCTTTCTCACTGCCCCACCTCATGCCTGGCAGAACCAGGATCTGCTCTCAGCCCATGCTCTGGAAGCCAAAGGGTTACTGAAATGTAGTGAAATAAATATGCAGAAACTTCAAAAATGCTGTTATTTTAAAAAGGAAAAATAATGGAAGGTATAAAAATTCCAACTGCCCTAAGGCTATGCCAAATGAAATGCTAAACTTCAAAAACATATGAAGCGCTCTAGTTTCCAATAAATAGGCCCTTAACCAGTTATTTGCTGTTAACTATGCTTTAAAATTGTATCACATGGAAAACAACAGAGTGGTGACAAATCAAGATCTCTAATCAAAAAATAAACCATAGCCCAAACCAGAAATGCAGATGGTATTTATAGATATCAGTATGTGTAGAACAAGCTTAATTCCATCCAGCTTTAACAACAGTTTCCAGGAGTTACAGTACAGGCAGACAAGCCCTGTTCAAGAGACTCCATCTGATTTGCAGACATGTTTAAAGGGAATAATCCAATTACTGCATCACCTGCATCACTGCATGTTAAGCAGGTCTGTGTTACAACAAGCCACTTCCAGAAAGTGAAACATGTAATGATAAAAGAATTCCTGCAGCTTTCTGGAAGCCACAGGCAGCAGCAGGAGGGGCAATGCACTGACCAGCAAACTCTGAGTAACCCCACACTGACTGAGGCCATGAAACTAAACTGCACTGAGTGTGCAAGAAACTGCTTTAGGCAAAGGAAGTCCCAAACTGGACATTTAAAGATGATTCTTCCAGCAGGGACACCAAGGCATTCAGTGGCACTGCTTTGCTTAATTCTCCTCTCAGCAGGGCTGTAAGAAGATAGATAATTAAGGCTTAAAAGTGTCTTTAGGCATCCATGGGCAACAGTGAATGCTCAGAAAACTTCTGACCAGGGCAAAGTCATGAATGTCCAACTTACATTATTGAAAGTTAGCTGGACCTCCTTCTTCTCTCCCAGTTTCAGAGAAGAGATGGGAAACGTGGATGTGCCAAGAGTCTCATCCATAACATAGTTGGCATCCATGAGAGTAACCTGGAAGAGATATCCATATATTCAATTCCACTGCAAGAAATCCTATCAAAAAATTATATGGAAGAAGAATGGGCCTGACCGAACCCAGCTGTCAATGCCCAATGCCAACTGACATTTCTTTTAAACCAGGATAAGTGGAGGTGGCACTTCAAGGAACTGAACTGCAGGAGTACACCAGGATTACTCACAACAGGATTTTAATCTCAGCACCTTTACGGCAGCAAATCTCACCATCCTTCCAATACCTTCAAATTCCACATACAGTAGAAGCAAAGCACAGTACCTTCATATTTCCAGTCAGTAAAATTTCCCTATGGAGAAACTTGTATAGTTCTAACTATAAAAAACATCCAGCAACTTTTCAGAGAAGATGGAATCCACATACCCCAGCCTTGACTCCACAGACCAAGATTGTTACAGCAGTGATTTGGCAAAATGTGCAGCATTCCAATTTACACAAAGCTGCTCTCTGTATCCAGTCAGACCTTCAAGTCTCTTCTCATACCCTCCATGCTGGAGCAGAGACCTTTCAAAAATGTGATAATATCCAAAGAAGGATGTGGATATGGCAGAACACCATTCCATGCTTTTGCTCTAATCCATGTGGATCTATGTTTAGCAGACTTTTTTTCTCCCCAGTGGCTGCTTTCCAAGTCCTCAAGATATATAGAAAGAATTTCAAATTCTCATTTACATGGTTTTTATTAAATGAGATCTCCAGACTAATTTGATTTACTGGTTCTTTTTCCACTTTGTGGCATTATATCTTCTAAAATATCACATGTTCGTGGCTTGGACTGCATCTTTTGTAGAAAACAAAGGGAATCAAGATACAATCACTTGAATAATTAGTTGCTACATCTGGGATCAGCCTCTTCTCAGCTATAAAGAATTTTCTTCATCCTGTGCCACAAGCAACCCTTTGAAATTATGAATTCTCTTTCTTTTAGGACAGAGCTCATTATTTTAATGGTATTTACCTTGCTCTGTTTCCTTGGAGAACTTTATGCCCATTCCTGCAATCTCTGAGTTCTGTCTCTTAAAACCAAAAGCAAAAACTTCTTAGTGGGATTCTGAAGAGCTGCCTACACTTCAGAAGGCAAATTACCCTTGGGATAGAGTTAAAGATGCAAACTGAAACAATCCAAGGAGTCACAAGGATTGTGGAGTCTGAGCTTCAGAATTCACAGAGTATTTGGGTGGGGAGGTGCCTTTACATATTTCTGACACTGCACTCCATTGCAGAATCCAAAGGCTCTTTCCTACTCTGCCAGGTCCACAATTAACCATTATTAAATGTTATCATCTACTCTTTGAGGGTAATTATCAGGGAATTTTATTGCACTATCTCAGAAGCAGCAACAGCCTTTAGTTATTGTAAAGATGCATTTCTACCTATAATCCATCTTGCTGTATTTGTGACTGTAATAATTTTATCCTTTTCAAAACCCTTGAACCAAATTTCGTCCTCAAAAAATTGAAACATTCCTAGAGAACCTGCCTCAGTGAAAAGGAGCTCAGAGCAGGGCCCAGGCTCTGCTCCAGGAGACCCAGCAGTGGCACAGAGGAACAGGCAGGAACTGATGCCCAGGAAATCATTGTGAATTCCCTAATATCTTTTGTCTCTAGGATGCACGGGATAGTTCTTCAGATCCAACAAGCAATGGGTATTATGCTCAAACAGCAGAGCCTTCCCCAGGAGCACAATTCCCTTTTAGACCCAAGGTCTGATGGTCACAGGCTCAAGGAAAACCTTCACAGGCTGCAGCCTCTGTCCCAGTTGGCCAATGTAGACTGAACTCTGCAAGCTCTGGTCAGAAGAGAGCAGGTGGCAGGGCCATCCTCTGTGAAAAACAGAGCTCACAAAGGACCAGAGCTAACCTTAAATCTTTGCCATGCCCACTCAGAAAACACTCACAGCTAACATGCAGCTCTTGTGTGCAGCCTGGAGAAGTTTAACACAAGAGACTCAACAGTGGCTTGGCCAACAAGGCCGGAGTGTGCAGAAGAGCCCTGGGTGGGCTCCAGGCAAGGAGAACACAGCAGAACCAGCCTTTTGCTCTCTCTGCTTGGGCAGAGACTTGACTTAAGCCCCACCTATTCCCTATCTGTAAGGGCTGAATCAGGGTAGGAAGCAGGGAGTACTCCACAGCTGATGTGAGGAACAAGAAGTTACTATCCCTCAGGAGATGTCCAAGGGTGACTCACAGGCATATCTGGTAATGACTCTTCAGGCTACTCCTTGAATAACTCAATTTATCCACCACTGCTTGCTTAGCACCACAGCTAAACCCAGGTTTAACATTTTAAACAAAGAGGTGATCTTGAGACATCAAATGCCACACATGTGCAAGCCTCTGTTGTTTTACCCTTCACCTGCCCAGCCCAGCCATGGGATTTACCTCCAGGACATTCTCCAGATTGGGGTCCAGAATGAACTCAAAGGTCTCATCCCACACAGGGTTGATGTCATTGTTGAAGTGCTTGGTTCTCTTCCTGCAGTCAGGGGCAGTGGGGATGAACAGCTCCACGTAGGGATCTGGAGTGTCAACTGTGGAGCACAACACAGGTCAGGCAAGGGAAAACTCCAGCTTGGGCTGGAAAAATTGGTACAATTCTGTGTACCACTCATGGGAAAGGACAGAAAGATATGCAACTCATTAAGCTACATAAATGCAATGACAAAAATGATACAACAACTGTAGCTATGATATTTTCTGAAAAATCCTTTTGCTAGGATTTTTTCTCCTGAGAAGCTGAGATGCCACAAGAACAAAATGCAAAAACAATGGTTATCTGCCGCTGTGGAATGCAACAGGTGCATCTGTGATTGGTCTCATGTGGTTGTTTCTAGTTAATGGCCAAACACAGTCAGCTGGCTTGGACTCTCTGTCTGAGACACAAGCCTTTGTTATCATTCTTTTCTTTTTTTATTCTTAGCTATCTTTCTGATGAAATCCTTTTTTCTATTCTTTTAGTATAGTTTTAATATAATATATATCATAAAATAATAAATCAAGCCTTCTGAAACATGGAGTCAGATCCTCATCTCTTCCCTCTTCCTCGGACCCCTGTGAACACTGTCACAAACAACACCAACAATCCCCCCAAAATAAACATTAGGGTTTTAGGAGGAGAGGGGCAAAGCCTTGAGCAAACAGAAGGGCACAGGAACTGAGTCAAGTTTATTGAGAATATGCAACCATCTGCCAGAGTGGTGTTTTTAAAAGCTTTTACTTCTTCCTCTCTTTCTAGCCTTTAATGGCTTTGGCTCGTGCCACAGCAGCAGGTATCCCACAAAATAATGAAAACAAGCAGTTTGCTGTGGGTTTTGGATCCTCTTTCACCTTTGCTGGTTTGGGAGCAATGGAGGAAATCTGTCCCGGCGCTGCAGTGCTGCACACAGCATAAGGAGCACTCAGTTCTGAAACACTGCCACCACCACAGCCCTGGGGAGTCACCACAGGATGAGGACATCTCATTTACACAGCAGAACCCTGACTGGAAACAGAGATATGGGAACTGCAGCTGATAGGAATTACTGGGGGAGAAAAGAAAACATTGACATATCCCATCGGATGTGTCTAAAAATAGCCATTCCCGAGAGCACAGAATGCTGCCATAAAAATGAACTTTCTAACAGTGAAAGCAGGGGTTTTCTGTACAACGAGGGGGGGAGTTTGTGTCAAATGGGGCCAGGGCTCAGAAGCCTCCCAGGAGAGCAAAGGAAGTTATTTCTGTGGTTACGGTGGATCAGGAAAAGTTTCCTCCTCTGCTGTGGTGAAACACCCACATCTTTCCAACACTGAAACACAGAATCACAGAATGTCCTGAGCTGGAAGGGACCCACAAGGATCATCAATCAGTGCAACTCCAGGCCCTGCCCAGACACCCCAACAATCCCACCCTGTGCATCCCTGGGAGCATTGCCCAAACCCTCCTGGAGCTCTGGCAGCCTTGGGGCTGTGCCCATTCCCTGGGGAGCCTGGGCAGTGCCCAAATTAAATCTTATCATGAGAAAAAGCAAGTTCAAACATTTCTCCTTGTACACATTTTCAGTCTAAAGCTACTTTTTTCCAATAAAGACAAATTTTAGAAACTGTGGGAGTTCAGTAAGACCTTATCCATGAGATTCCTGAGGACCAGAATCACTTCTCCCTCCTACTGGGAGAAGAAGGAAAAGAAGATAACAAAGAAGTTGGGTAATTTCAAATCAAATCAAGTATCTTTTGGGGAAAAAACCCTGACCAAACAACCAAAAAAAAGGCTTTTGGAAACCACTCGGGAGGTTCTGAATGTGTCCCCAGGCAAATCCTATTCAGTGTTATCCTAATCCAGCTTGTCAAGGAGTTTTCCACTGTGCTCCATACCTGTGGGGCTCAGCTAATTGCTACATTGAGGTGGTCTCAGTGCTCCTTGAGTAATGAAAAAGCCGCTATTTTAAGCTGGGGATCAGTGAGGAAAGACTTTAAATAGCAACTTTTATTAGCTCCTGAGGAATTATGCCTGATCTTGTCTCTTCATTTTGGGCAGGGGAACTGGGGGATCAAGCCCCAAGTCTTTCCTCACGGGCAGATGTTCCAACTTGCCAACTTTTCCATTCCTTCCAACTACTACACAAAGCTCAGCCACAAAGAAAAGAACCTCTGAAACTAAAAACCCATAAAGTGGCAAGGTCTTGCTAACTCTTGATATCCAGCATGACTTTGGCAATGAACACCCAGGGTTACCCAGCCAAGAGACTGAAGTTGCCTACAAAAACCTGGATTTTAGACAAAATCCTGATGGCTGAGCAGAGCTCTGGGCAAAAGATCAGTGCCTCCCTCTCCATTCAGATCATGCTGTGTGATCAGTCCCAATGCTTACAAAAATCCAATTTTTCTTATCAACACAAACAGCAAATGGTTTCCAATATCCATATTTAAAATCCCAAAGCATGTAGAAACCCCAGACCTCTGACATGCAGATCCACCACTACCTTTCTGTCAATCAAACCCCAGTAGGTGTTGAAACAGAAACTAAACCCAAGGCATGGATCAACTGAACTTGGAAAAATCAGCCTTGGTAGTTCAGTACTGCCAAGTCACCTCACTCCATCTCTTTATTAGCTTTTTAACCAAAGGCAAAGATTTAATCACCTGCCCTTTCATGTTTGAAAGTTTATTTGGAGCTTTTTCAGCTAAGAAAATGAAAATCTATTCTTTTTTAACTTCCTTCTTTAGATGAAAATATATGGGAAGACTGCTTGCTCTGATTAAGATACTGCTATAAGCAATACTAAATACTTCTTTAAGATATATTATATGAATCAAAATCTAACTCCTTGGATCCTTGGATGGGGATCAAAAACTACTAGCAACCTGGCAAATAACACAGAAGTATTTAGCTAATGTATTTCAAAACATTGAAGTTATCAAATGTACATTAAACAGCCAGCGTGCACTCTCAGCATTCCTGCCTGGGCTTCTGCTAATTGATTTGCTAGGTAACGTTAAAAAAAAACTAAGCTGAAAATGTAACTAAAAGCAGCTTGATCAGCCTGTAATCACAGAACCTCCAAATGGTTTGGGTTAGGAGGGACCTTAAAGCCCATCCAGTGCCACCCCCTGCCATGGGCAGGGACACCTTCCACTGTCCCAGATTGCTCCAAGCCCCATCCAACCGGGTCTTGGGCACTGCCAGGGATCCAGGGGCAGCCACAGCTTCTCTGGGCACCCTGTGCCACCCTCACAGAGAAGGATTTTTCCCTAGTACGCCATCCATCCCTGCCCTCTGGCAGTGGAAGCCATTCCCTGTGTCCTGTCCCTCCATTCCTTGTCCCAAGTCCCTCTCCAGCTCTCCTGGAGCCCCTTTAGGCACTGGAAGGCTGCCATCCGTATTTTGTTTTTAAGAGGAAGAATCATTATGATGTATGGGTCAAAAGCTGCCATTAAATCATGACAAGAGAATTATTTATGTCTGAGAATGATCTCTATCTGGACCTGATGACCTAAATGTCTTTTCCAACCTTAAGGAAAGTTCCTCTTTTGGGGAACTGGTCCTGTGTTGCAGCAGCTGCCTCAGCAGCAGCCACGTGGGGGAATTGCACTTGTTCCCAGGACATTTCTGAGGAAAGCAGAGTTTCTGTGCAGCTCAGCCCTGAGGCTGTTCCTTATGCAAGCCTGCTGCTCCATCACCATTTCTCAGAAACAAGGCAGGCTGAACCAACAGTTAAGCATGAGTATCTCAAACCCCACCTGCCCTCTAAAAAACACAATTAAGCCTTTCAGCGCTGATGCCAATGAGGGTCCTGCAATTAGCAGCTTGGAGGCAGATGAGGTCTTGGGTAATTAACAAAATGTTGGTGATAATCCAGATTTACAGCCCCCTCCCACCCAAAGTTCCAGGGGCTGAAGACACACATCCAAAACCAAGAGCAGAGCCAGCATCCCCTCTGCTGGTTTTAAACTGCTGCTTTGGGAATGGCTGAGAGGTAGAAAGTAAGGATTCACTGACTTTTCCTCATCTGATTTATCTCCTTTATTTAAGTAATGGCTATAGGATTCTCCCTTTAAATTACATTGTGAATCACCAAGTGAAACACACAGTGGACAATAATTAGGGTCAAACGTTTTCACAGTGAAAAATGAGTAATACTTTAAGCAATCTGGCTATTAGGGAAACCTGTAAAATTTTTTGCAATGACTGCAAACCATTTGATCTTGTGTTATTAAGATTGGTGAGATGGCTGTCATCAGGCCTCTATAGTAATATGATAAATAGTTCAGATATATGATTTATATTTCAGTCATTCCAATTTCAATAACTTCAACAGCATAATTACCATAAAGAAACTATAGAAAGCCTGTTCAAATATAACACTGAGATAGACACATATCTATCTCAAAATAAAAAGTGGTAATAACCCTTAATTTATCCACCATTAAACGCAATCCCATTGATAAAAACTTACTAGGTCCCAAAGGACCATCTTTGTGTATTTCCCACCATTTTTTGGCTTGCTGCCCCACACTACAACTTGTTCAGCACATGCAGCTGAGTAGCCTGGCTGAGGTCAAGCCAATAATGGGAATTGCTGGACGACCTCTCTCTCCTCAAAGGGGAAGGAAGCTAAACAATTACAGAATTTCTACTCAAATTGTGAATTTGCTGGGGCCTCACAGTGGCAGAGAAATATGAGTTGGTGTCTCTGCCACGGTCAGGAGAAAAAGTAATGAATTTTAAAATCGTGGGTTTTCCCAGATTCATGTGATTTTTCAGTTCTTAAAAAGGGAATTCTTAAAAACTGCACTAATCAATAACTGTCCCTCCAACCATGGAACAGATACTTGAAATGCTCCAGACAAATCCATAGCCTGGCAATAATGCAAATACTAGGAGACTTGCCAGAAGGCCACAGCAACCTAAAAACCCCAGGAGTACTCCCTACTGCTCGTGTTTAAGGCACCAGAGGGAATGCCAGGGCTGGTGGCTTTGGGGATTTTGCAAAGGGCTGATGCAGTGCCAGATTCCGTGAGCGGAAGGTGACTCCAAGGGAAACAAGGCACCTCT